TTTTTACCTCTTTCTGCTGCTTTAGAAGAAACTCTTGACAAAAGTGATGTAACTTTTGTTAATTTTGGAAACGAAACATTATCAGTCATGTCTTCGTGTGATGGTTACTACATTTTCGATCCTCATTCTCGTAATCATTTAGGAATTGATGTAGGAAATGGGACAAGTATTTTGATGCATGCGAAGTCATACCAAGGTGTTCATAAGTACATCATTCAACTTGCATTGTCGATGAATTATCAGTGTAATGGTGTTTTTTAAGTAATGGGTGCAACTGCGACAGGAAAATCTGAGAACTGTGTGTCTCCAGTAATTGAACAGCATGATCCAAAGTATTCAATTGAAGATATGCTCTGTGTTTCACACAACGAAGACAGAGTTCAGAAGAATAGTGTAAATACAGATGTTGTCAATTGTGATAAGGAAAGTTGTGTGGAAAGTGACAGTGATGTAATAAAGCTGACAGACACAGCCCGCATAAAAACGTATGACTTTGAATACTGCATATCAGACACGCAGCAGTATAGTACAAGTACTGCTCCTACATCTTTGAAAGATTATCAAAGAATTGAAGAGAAAGTTGAGAACAAGGATAAATGCTTAGATTATTCTATGCAGTTTGTGTCACAAGACAAGGACGACATACATGTACATGTAGATCTACATAGTGGAAAGACTGAGAATGTAAACAGAGATCAAGCATTTATGTTAGAGAGTAGCAGTACTAGAATGAAGCAAACACCTTGCCAAAAAGAGTATAATAGTGATAATGATGATATTCAGCCTACATGTTTATCCCACGTGAAGGAGTTTAAATTTGAAAGTTGCACATCAGATATGCAGCAACGTTACGTAATACATGTACTTTCCCCATATCTTTAAATGCTGTAAACACACAGGAAGAGTGCACTAACATTCTTGAAACAAGCTTACATAAACATATGCAATCTGTGCCACAAACAAAAGGCAAGGTGATTGTCCAGGATAAAACTACCAAGAAAGTAAATGGAAGTAAAGTTGTTGAGGCTTGTAACAGTACTAGCATTATGTGTGCATCTCTTTTAAAGGAGAGTGGATATGGGAAATCTAAGTTAAGCTTGCAACAAGATGATACTTGTATGGCTTCCACATCTACTGGTTTAGGCATACAAAAAGACAAATGTAAAGGTGGCACATCTAACACCAATGTTGATAGTTCTACCGCATTACTACCTGTTGTTCATGGAAACTTCAATCAAGGAAATTATAGATTTGGTGAAAATAGTGGAAAGCAATGTGTGGCCAATTGTTTGTCAGCTGTGATGTTTAGCAGAATCAAGAATATACAATACTGGTGCAGTAAGGATTTAGATAATATTCTAGTTCATGGCAATGAGTTGTATGGCCTTATTCGAAAGATCAATACAAAAAGTCAGGACTTTTTGTTGATATCAAATCTACCTGAAGTTCTAGAAGGTTTTGATGATGTATTTACAATGAATTACAAAGAACCTGTTAAAGGTTACATTATTGGAAAAGAAATGCCTGAATATAAATGGATTATTTTGAAACGAGCCCTTGCTCAAGAACTTTGTCAACATGATGCTTGTTTTTTCACTTTCAATGGAAGCACACTCATTGTCATATCCACACTTGATGGTTATTGCATTTTTGATTCACATTCGAGATCCAAGACTGGCCTCCAAATTCAGGATGGCAAGAGCATTCTTATGTTTACATCATCATGGCAAGGTGTTTACAAGCATATTACAAACTTAGCTAGGTCTATGAATGTTGGTTTTCTTAATGCATGTTACGAATTGACTGGTGTAGATCTTCATAGAAGTTCAGGAGACTCTGAAACATTAAATGAAAAACTGCCAAAGTTATTGACAAGTGAACCTGGAACAGAAACTCAAATCCCAAGCAATGAAAGCACTATAAATGCAATACATGTTGAGGGTAATAAAGAACCTGATAATGAATGTAAACAAAGAAATATTGCATTTGAAGTGATTCAAGAAAACAATTCTGAGTGTACATCTGAGATACTTAATACCAAGAAATGTGAAACCAAAGATAGTTATACAATTGGTTATGAAAAGTCTCCTAAGCAAGAATATAATGATAGGTTGTTCACTGAAAATTTGATGTCACATGTTGAAAGGAAAGGCCTTGAATGCCCTTTAATTTCTCAGAAAAACGCTGTGTTGAAGCTTGACAAAACCACAAATGAAGAAACCTGTTGTATAGTAAATCATAAAAAGAACAGAAAAAACAGTACACAAAATAATAGTAGTAAAGATGGCAGTAATACTAGTATGCAATATTCTGCAGGAATAGAAGGTACATGTAATACCAATTTGTTCTACGAAGGAGAGGTTGTGCAAATTAAAAAAATGAAACTGGAGCTGCATAAAATACCTACTTCCACTGGTAATATGACTATAAGTAAATCTCAGCAATTTTCTACCTGTAAAGTTATAAAAACAAATGTTTGCCAGAAAAAAATGATGATTAATGACAAAGATGAAAAAATTGGTTGTGAAGCTGCAAGCAAAGATTTATCACTTGAACATGAAAATGATGATGTTGTTGTATTAGGTGTTACAAGAAAAAATCTTTTTTTTGAACCCATTGTAAAACAAGATAAGTTAAAGCTATGTAGAAAATTGAGTATTTCACATAAACATCTACTTCAGTCTGCCGATGCTGTTATTCCAAATCAATGTTTAGGGTGTCCACTTGAACTGAAAACAATCATTGGTGATGGTAATTGCTTTTATCGTAGTATTTCCTATGCAATCTGTAAATTTGAAGATAATCATATGGACATAAGAGTTGCGGTTGTAGATTTTCTCACATCAAACTCTGATATTTTTGTTGGTTATTTGGGAAGAAATTTTTCTTCCGTTTTACAATATGCAAAAAGCCAAAGAATAATGGATTATGGCATATGGGCATCAGAGATAGAGATATTAGTAACTGCGAATTTGCTGGAAATCGATATTTACATTTATGATGAAGAATTGAAACGTTGGCATATATTTTGTGGGAATAAAGCCAAAATGGGAGAGGTTACAACAAACAGAGGCATATATTTAAACCATACAGGTGGAATACATTATGATGTTGTGTTATCTGTGCAAAGTAATGGTGTTATTGAGATTGTCGCTGATGCTGAAGATTTTCATAAAAGTTATGAAGATGCTGAGTATATTAATGAGGATGGAATTGACAGGAATTGTGAAGAGCCTCCCAGCAAAAAAATAAGAATAAATAGTGCTTCAGACATTTTTGACCAAGAAGGTAATAAATCATGTAAGGATGCATCTATTGAACCTAGAAGAGTGTTTTCAAGATTCAGGGGTAAAGCAAGGAAAACTGGATACAAAAGGAAACTTAAACAACAGAAAGTGAAAATGAAGTTATCTAGGGTAAAACCAATCCTTAAAGAAAGTAAATACAAGACAAGTGAATTGTACAGGACAAAGCAAAACTCTGTCAAAAAGACCAAATATAAGACAGATGACTTGTTTCGTTCTAAAATATTATCTGATGAAAAGATTAAATACCAGACAAATAAAGTGCATCAATCTCAAAAGAAATCTGCCCAAAAAATTAGATACAACACAGATGAAATGCATAGATGTCAGAAAATATTGGGCAAAAAAATGAAAATGAAATACAAGACAGATGAACTGCATCGATCTCAGACAAAAATAGCTCAAAGCAGAAAATACAAAACTAATGATATATATCAATCAAAGAAGAAAAGAGCAATATTTTTGAAGTATAACACTGATGTAAATTTTAGACTAAGTCATAATATGTATCATCGTATTAAGTATAAAAGCAACGCTTCGCATAGAAATTATATGCTACAAAAATCACGATTGCAGTATGGAAGAAAGAAAAATTTGAGCTTTTACCAAGATTGCAAAGACAAATACCACAGGAATGTTTTGTTTAGAACAAAAAAATTGCGTGCACTAAGACTGAAGTATGGATTAGATAAAACTTATTCTGCAGCACTGCGGCAAAAACAAAAAAATCATTATCATAAGAAGAAAAGTATCTGTGATGTTATAAGTAAGTTCCAAAAGTTTCATTGTAATGGACCAGAATACGTTTGCTCAGTATGTTTGAAATTATTGTTTCGTACTCAAGTTTTGCAATGTCATAAATTGAAATATAAAATAAGTAAATGCATATCTGAAAAGTACCTTCATGTTTGTACAAGTTCTTGTTCTAAAGACTGTATGATTAAACTGTGCCGAGGCAAACTGTGGATTTGTTACACATGTCATCGAAAATTGAAACAAAATAAAGTGTCATCAGAAGCTTGGACTAATAATCTACATTTGAATGACATACCGGACACTTTACTGAAATTGAATAGCCTTGAATGTCATTTGATTTCACAAAATATTTCTTTCATGAAAATTGTTTGTTTACCAAAGGGAGGACAGTTTTCTGTAAAAGGTCCTGTTGTCAGTGTACCATCGAATATGTCAAAAGCAGTTAGTGTACTTCCAAGACAACCATGTGATGATCAATTAGTACGTGTCAAGCTTAAAAGAAAGTTGTCGTATAAAGGGTATTATGAATATCGTAATGTCAATACCAAAAATGTCATGGATGCTTTGCAGTATTTGAAGAAATATAATAAATGGTATCATACAATAGATATTGATGCAATGTGGACTATTGAACATATTGAAGAAAGCGAAACTGTTGTAATTGATGATAATTCTGAAACTGTAAAGAATGATGAATGTGGTGAACAATTAGATATTGCTAAAGAAGAAAAACTTTTCCTGAATACTACAGCACAAAATGAAACAAATAAAGAAGCCATTGATGAGGATAATGATAAGCTAAGAGGATTACCACTTGATTCCTGTCTCCAAGAAGAAACTATCCATGTTGCTCATGATGATAATCATGATAATAAAATGAAAAATAAATGTATTGTCGAATTAGATAATGAAAAACATGAAAAAAAGGCAACAGATGAAATGAAAACACAAAATGAATCAAATGAAGAAGAAGTCATTGATGATGATGATGATGATGATGATGATGATGATAAGTTACGAGGAATACCACTTGACTCTTGTCTCCAACCTGTAAATATTGGGCAACAATTACTGGATGAAGAATTTGCTGACATTTTATGTATTGCTCCATGTGAAGGATCAACTCCTTTACGTATTTTATTTAATCTATGGACTGAAGCACAAACATTTCCTACCCTTTTTCCACAAGGTCTTAATACATATCATGAAAAACGTGATCAGAAAATTTCACTAAAAAGGTATTTCCATAATCGATTAATGAATGTAGATAACAGATTTGCACAAAATACAGACTATATATTTTATGCACAATACATAAGTGAAATTGAAAATGTAATGTCTAGTATATCTATAGCTTTACGAACAGGTGGTCAAAAGACCAGTGACGATAAAGAAGTGACAGCCTCTATGCTAAAGAATGATAAAGAAGTGAGTAAAATTTTGAAGTCTGATAGAGGTTATAGATTCCTGTCATCTGTAAGAGGAACACCTCCATATTGGCAAAGAGTTCAAAAAGACTTGCTAGCAATGATTCGTCAGCTGGGAATACCAACTTTTTTTGTCAGCTTTTCAAGCGCTGATTTAAGATGGCCAGAAGTAGTAAATACAATTTTAAAACAACAAGGTGATACTACAAGGACTGCGGAAACGATGGATTGGAATGAGAAATGTGCTGTATTAAGAAGTAATCCTGTCACAGCTGCTCGAATGTTTGACAAAAGATTTCATCTGTTTGTTACAAATGTTATTAAATCTAAAGCAAAACCAATAGGTAAAGTAGTAGACTCTTTTTTTAGAGTGGAATTTCAATTACGTGGAAGTCCTCATATTCATGGGCTTGTGTGGATTGAAAATGCTCCTAAACTAGACACAGATAGTGATGAAAGAGTTCAAGAATTTGTTGATGAATACATTACATGCCATTTGCCAACAACAGAAGAGGATGAAGAATTGAAGGATATACTAGAACATGTGCAAATGCATAGCAAAAAACATTCTAAATCTTGTAAAAAGGGGCGCAAAGAATGTCGCTTTAATTTTCCTAGACCTCCTTCACAAAGAACATTTGTGGTTAGACCGAAACCTGATAAAGACCCGTTTGTTATGGCTAAAGCTAGGGATCTAGTATCATCAGTGAAAGACAAATTGAGGGATGCTACAAGTGAATACAATAGTATAGAAGAATTGTTTGAAGAGCTTAATACATCACAGAAGGAATTTGAAAAGGCATATTGTATGGTTGCAGAAAGGGTATCTATTGTACATAGTCGAAATTTAAAATCTGTATGGGTAAATCAATATAATAAACATGTATTGCGTGCTTGGAATGCTAATTGTGATATACAGTTTGTATGTGATGTATATGCTTGTGTTCAGTATATAGTGGCCTACATTTCTAAATCAGAACGTGAATTGGGCAAGGTTTTGCAAGCTGTTTATGATGAAATATCAACTGGTAATAACGATACTAAAAAATGTATGAAGGAACTTGGCCATGCTTTTATTAAAAATAGAGAAGTTTCCGCTCAAGAAGCTGTGTATAGAGTGTGTGGTCTCAGTTTAAAGGAATTTTCACGAAAAGTAGAATTCATACCGGTCGGTGAAAATCCAACAAGATTAAGTTTACCATTGTCAATCATTAAGTCAAAATCAGATGATGATGATAATATTTGGGCCAAGAACAAGGTAGACAGGTACAAGAATCGTCCTCATAATGAAGTGTTTGAATTTATGTGTTTAGCAACTTTCTGTTCTGAATACAGGGTTTTGTATGGTAAGCAAAGAAAACAACAGAAGAATATTCATAAATTGTTGAATGGACATGGTTTTGTGCAGAAAAGAACAAAGAAAAATGCTATCATTAGGTATCCAAGATTTAATGTTGAGACAAATACTGAAAGGTTTTATCAAAGTATGCTTCAACTTTTTTTACCTTATAGAACAAATGTTGAACTAAAGCCATCAGAGTTTAAGTGTTATGAACAATTCTTTTTTCTTGGAAGTGTGCAACTCAATTTGAAGGTTAAAAAGGTTCGGACAGTAGTTGCCAGAAATAAAGCTTTCTATGAAAAAGATGCAGAATCATTTGATAAAGCAAAGAAATTTCTTGAGAATATGCCAGAAGATATTGATGCTTGGTCAACCTTGTGTCCAGAATCAGAGAAAAGTAGGCTTGAGGAAGAGAATGACAAAGACTCTGTTACATATGAGAGTGATAGCGAGTGTGCGGTACCTGACTTATGTACGAAGGATAGTAGTGATTCACACCATAGGATTGAATTACGTGAACCTAAATTGTCAGAGCAAGATAAAATGTCGTTATTTAGATCCATGAACACTAAACAATGTGAAGTCTTTTACAAAGTGAGAGAATGGTGTATTAATAAGACATTAGACTCTAACATTGACCCTTTTTTTGCGTTCCTTACTGGAGGAGCTGGTGTTGGAAAATCACATCTTGTACGATGTATATATACAGAAGCAACACGGATATTAGCGAAAACTTCTGAAAACCCTGATTCCATTGTAGTTTTGAAAGTTGCACCAACTGGTGTTGCAGCCTTTAACATTCAAGGTCTAACAATACATAGTGCTTTCTCACTCCCCCTTAGAATGCGTTTACCTTATGTGCCACTGACTGAAGAGAGACTTAGTTCGTTGCGAAACACTTTATCTCAAGTTCAAATTGTTATAATTGATGAAATTTCTATGGTGGATCAGAATATTTTTGGTTATATTCATGGACGTCTTCAACAAATAAAAGGAAAATCTAGTGATTTTGGTCATGTAAGTGTTATTGCTGTGGGAGACTTTTATCAATTGGCTCCAGTGGGAGGCATACCTTTGTATAATGAATCTGTTAATTCAAGTTTATGGCATGACAATTTCAAGATAATAGAACTAGACGAGATAATGCGTCAGAAAGATGATGCTGAGTTTGCAAATTTACTGAACAAATTGCGCATAAGAAAAAGAAATGAGGATGTAGATGAACATGATCTATCACTTTTAAGAAGTTGTGAGACTCATGAATATACGGAAGATGTTTTACATATCTATCCTAAAAATAAAGATGTTGATGCACATAATATACACATGCTGTCTACAAAATTTCAAAGAAATCAAAGTTACTAAAGCAGTTGATTCTAACCCTAAATCTATTTCTATAAAGAAAAACAAAAAAGAAAAAGTAACATTACCTGAAAAATTATCCATTGCAGTTGGAGTGAGGGTTATTCTTACACGAAACATAGATACATCAGACGGTTTAAGTAATGGCCAAATTGGAACTGTAAAGGCATTCATTGAAGGAACTGAACCATTTACACTAAAGTATATATATGTGCAGTTTGATAATGATAAAGTTGGTGCCAAATTTAGAAAGACTAATAACGTATGTAAAGATTATGAAAATTCTGTTCGTATTGCAAAAGTAGAGGAGGTTCATGATAATTTTAAACGCTTGCAATTTCCATTAAAGCTAGCATATGCTTCAACAATTCACAAAGTTCAAGGTTTAAGTTTGGAAAAGTGTTTATTTAATATGAAAGGTATCTTTTGTGCTGGCCAAGCTTATGTGGGATTGAGCCGTTTAACATCTTTAAAAGGACTGACTTTGAAAGAGTTTGATATTAAATACATATATTGTAATGAGAGTATTTCCGAGTCCATTGCAGAAATGCCTCACTTTTTGGAAACACAATGTACACCAAGCTTATCTAATGAGCAGATGATAATATTACATAATGTTCAAGGTTTAAGATTACACTTTGAAGACCTTTGTAAACAGATTCAAAATATGAATGCAGACTTTATTTGCCTCACAGAAACCTGGCTGAAAGATGAGTATTTTCCTTTGGATGTAGAATTATCAGATTACAAAAGTTACCATCAACCAAGACACATGGCTTATAATAATTCAAGTGAAATAACTACCAAACTTGGACAACAAACACATGGTGGAGTGTCATGTTACGGCAAAATTATCAAATCATTTTCTAGATTACATTTAACAAATAACATTGAAAATATTGCTATTCACATAGTTTCAAAGTTTTCAGTCTTACTTGTTGTAATATATAGACCAGCCTCATACAAGATGTCTGTGTTTCTCATGCATTTGAAGAATTTGGTAGAAACAGCTCATAATCATAGTAACAAAGTTATCATTATGGGAGATTTTAATGAAAATTATACACAAAGTTCTTGTTTAGTAAAGTTTTTCATTAGTTATGGATATAAGCAATTTGTAACCAATCCAACAACAGAAAGAGGAACTATAATAGACCATGTTTACATAAGAGGGTTTGATTTGCAAGATATATGTATTGTACCAACTTACTATAGTTATCATGAATGTATTAAGATCCTAGTTTAGCATTACTGCATATTTGTCAACAAGGAAAGTAATACAAGCTTTATTTTTAGTGCTAAATTGTATCCGGCAATGTGAACACTCCCTGTACCGTGGAGGAGTCCAAGTCTACCCCCCTCAAGTTCTTGATTGAGAAGCACGCTGGTGGTGTAGAGGGGGGTTGGGATAACCTCTTAGCTGTCAACCCAGGGGGTTCATCTACTTCTATGATCCCTAAAGAGTGAGTATTAAAGCCCCTCTGCACTAGATCGGCTAGGAGAGATTAGAGGGATTAGTGTGATCACTGACAGGTGGTTATCTCATCAACTCAGCTCTTAATTAACATAAGAAAAAGAGGATCATGAGAGACCAATGGGCACCGCTTAGGTATGCATAATCCTGTCAAGCATCATTGCAGGAACTTTGAGAATTTTCAATCTCTGTTTCTTCCCCATTATGCTAACTTTCAGATCATCTGCAGGAGGGAAGCTCTGTGGTTCGCTGGCTTTGGACGTTAACACAACTAGGGCACCAAACTCTTCAACATCTCAGGCGATGTGAACACTCCCTGTTCCGTGGAGAAGTCCAAGTCTACCCCCCTCAAGTTCTTGGTTGAGAAGCACGCTGGTGGTGTAGTGGATGGTTGGGATAACCTCTTAGCTGTCAACCCAGGGGTTTTATCTACTTCTATGATCCCTAAAGAGTGAGTATTAATGCCCCTCTGCACTAGATTAGCCAGGAGGGATTAGAGGGATAAGTGTGGTCACTGACAGGTGGTTATCTCATCAACTCAGCTCTTAATTAACATAAGAAAAAGAGGATCATGGGAGACCAATGGGCACCGCTTAGGTATGCATAATCCTGTCAACAAGCATCATTGCAGGAACTTTGAGGATTTTCAATCTCTGTTTCTTTCCCATTATGCTAACTTTCAGATCATCTGCAGGAGGGGAGCTCTGTGGTTCGCTGGCTTTGGATGGAACGCAACCAGGCCACCTAGCTCTTCAACATCTCAGGCAATGTGAACACTCCCTGTACCGTGGAGGAGTCCAAGTCTACCCTCTCAAGTTCTTGATTGAGAAGCACGCTGGTGGTGTAGAGGGCGGTTGGGATAACCTCTTGGCTGTCAACCCAGGGGGTGCATCTACTTCTATGATCCCTAAAGAGTGAGTATTAATGCCCCTCTGCACTAGATCGGGCCAGGAGGGATTAGAGGGATAAGTGTGGTCACTGACAGGTGGATATAATTAACATAAGAAAAAGAGGATCATGGGGGACTAATGGACACCGCTTAGGTATGCATAATCCTGTCAATAAGCATCTTTGCAGGAACTTTGAGAATTTTCAATCTCTGTTTCTTCCCCCATTATGCTGACTTTCAGATCATCTGCAGGAGGGGAGATCTGTGGTTCGCTGGCTTTGGACGTGAACGCAACCAGGCCACCAATCTCTTCAACATCTCAGGCAAGTGAACACTCCCTGTACCGTGGAGAAGTCCAAGTCTACCCCTCTCAAGTTCTTGATTGAGAAGCACGCTGGTGGTGTAGAGGGCGGTTGGGATAACCTCTTGGCTGTCAACCCAGGGGGTTCATCTACTTCTATGATCCCTAAAGAGTGAGTATTAATGCCCCTCTGCACTAGATCAGCCAGGAGGGATTAGAGGGATTAGTGTGGTCACTGAAAGGTGGTTATCTCATCAACTGAGCTCTTAATTAACATAAGAAAAAGAGGATAATGGGAGACTAATGGGCACCGCTTAGTTATGCATTATCCTGTCAACAAGCATCATTGCAGGAACTTTGAGGATTTTCAATCTCTGTTTCTTCCCCATTATGCTAACTTTCAGATCATCTGCAGGAGGGGAGCTCTGCGGTTCGCTGGCTTTGGACGTGAACGCAACCAGGCCACCAAACTCTTCAACATCTCAGGCAATGTGAACACTCCCTGTACCGTGGAGGAGTCCAAGTCTACCCCCCTCAAGTTCTTGATTAAGAAGCACGCTGGTGGTGTAGAGGGGGGTTGGGATAACCTCTTGGCTGTCAACCCAGGGGGTTCATCTACTTCTATGATCCCTAAAGAGTGAGTATTAATGCCCCTCTGCACTAGATCAGCCAGGAGGGATTAGAGGGATGAGTGTGGTCACTGACAGGTGGTTATCTCATCAACTCAGCTCTTAATTAAAATAAGAAAAAGAGGATCATGGGAGACCAATGGGCACCGCTTAGTTATGCATAATCCTGTCAACAAGCATCATTGCAGGAACTTTGAGGATTTTCAATCTCTGTTTCTTCCCCATTATGCTAACTTTCAGATCATCTGCAGGAGGGGAGCTCTGTGGTTCGCTGGCTTTGGACGTGAACGCAACCAGGCCACCAAACTCTTCAACATCTCAGGCAATGTGAACAAGAGTGAGTATTAATGCCCCTCTGCACTAGATCAGCCAGGAGGGATTAGAGGGATTAGTGTGGTCACTGACAGGTGGTTATCTCATCAACTCGGCTCTTAATTATCATAAGAAAAAGAGGATCATGGGGGACCAATGGGCACCACTTAGGTTGCAGAACCGTAATACTGATGACAATTAATGAAAAGTTTTGTTTTTGTTTTCAATTTTGATAGTAAGTTAGGTGAAAGAACAGTTAGAAACATTGTTATGATATACTATAACAGTAGCAATTCACAACTTTATAGTTCACATTTCATTCCTATAAATCAACTCGTCATCTCACAGTGTATATTATTATAATGATATAATAATAATACAACACTTATAATATGCACCATTATCTATCATGGTGCAGTGAAAGGAAAATAGACAAAATAAAGAAGAATATGAGATAAATTGTATTTCAATTATTTTGCTCTTCTTCAGAACAACTTGTTATTGCAATTTGATATTACTTTTAGATCATACACGATTACACATACATTCATTGTTGTAGAAAATGAAAGCAAAATTGAAATGCAAAAAATAATGAAGTGAAAATTCATAGCACACACTTTTTATTCTTCTTCTATTGCAGGTACCTCATTTTGAATCATTGGTAGATAGATGGCTCTTTGCACTTTGACCAATGACCTTATCTATATTTCATCCATCAAGCACCGATGATTTGTTATTATCTCCAGCAATGCACATGATTGGAATAAACAACCTCACACAACTGATATTGGCACTGTCTTATTTATTTGTATGGATTCTTTTATGTAATACTTGTTTTAAGTAAGTGAAAATTGCATGATTTAAAAACCACTAAAATGTTTACAATATTGACTATCCTTTTTGTGGTTTTGATATTTGATTAGAATCATAATTATACACATGAAAACATTGAAAAGTTACATCCTAGTGAAAATAGAATTTTGTACAATGTCTTCATATTTAATTATTACAAATTTCTTGCTTGAAAGACACTTTTTGTGTGTATGTGAAAAAAGAGCGAAAGAAGGAACTGATTCTTTAATGGGAAATTTAACTTTACTATAAAATTGTTCTGAGGAAGAAAAAAAAAATCATATAAGCAGATTGGTGAAATTTTAAACAAAATCAGTCAAACTAGGAAATTATTAATTTGTGAAATTTGTAAACACTAGACATATGGGAATCTCAAATTGGCAAATGAACCATTCAACTGTGATGTATTTGTGGTATTTTTTTCATTGGTTGGAGACTAAATATCATTAATTTCTGTTTTTCTTCTAAACGCCTTTTCATTTCAGGCAAATCTAAAAGTACATTTTGGGTAGCACGTTGATATAGATCTTCCACACAAAAAAATCTACCTACCGGTAGTCGTAAATTTAGGAAATTCTCATTTTAGTCTTTTTGTGTAATGGAACAAATGTTAGAGTTTGCTGCCACTACATTACAGTGACATAAAAATTAAAGTTTTCCTATTTATTTTTTTCTGTTAAACTTGTCATCACTATTGCATTATTAAAATCATTATTACTGTGGTAATTGCTTATTTCTATTTTTGTAGTAGATGTGACATGGAAATTAGAAAAACATCTATGAAAGAAAGATGTGAATATGAAAAAGAAAGAATACATAAATGGAATTACATAGAAAAGAAGATAGATGAATGAGAGGGAAAATAACAAGAGTAAATGAGAGATAGAAGTGTGTGTGTGGAGAGGGGAGGGGTGACAACAGCATTTTAAATGGGATAACCTTGCTATCCATAAGGATCATTATTCATAAATGTCATTATTCATAAGGGTTGCTATTTATAATGCACTTCTACCATATACTGGCAAACTGCTATTCATATCATAACAACAGGCTGCTATTTATAATATACATAAGGACCGCTATCCGCAAGGGTCACTATTCGGGAAAGGGACGTAACATGAATATTCATATTTTGGATAAAGGACCAATTTTCATAAGGGTCACTAGTCACTATTCATAATATACAGACCCCTTTGCTAAATTATAAGCATCAAAACCCTCATTTTAAAAAATATATGAATAGCGCACCTGTGTTCTATTATGAATAACGACCCCTTTACTCCTTTAGTAATAGCGACCTATATTGAAAAATAAGCCCCTTTTAAAATTATGAATAGCAACCAATTTATCATATAATTGCGACCCCTTATTTTTAATATGAATTATTTATTTGTGATAAAAGACCCTTATAAATAGTGATCCCATATTTTAGTTGGGAACAGTCAACCTTATGAATAGAGAGCTTTATGTGTAATGATCCTCGTGAATGGCCAGCGGACCCTCATTTTTGAGGAGAATTTGGATTATTTGAGTGGCCTCGTTGATAGGAACTTTAAATCTGTAATTCTTATTATACAACCAGGGGTAATTCTTTTGTAGACTATAAAACATAAAGATAAGAAAAGGATGAAAATAAGAATGAACAAAATAAGCAAGACAAAAAAAAAAAAAAAAAAAGATATATAAACAAAAGGACAACTACAAAGAGGAAACAACAAAAGGATAAAAACTATAGCTGCTGACAGGTACAAAAAATAGAATTATGAAAACAGGAAAATGAAGAAAGCTAGGTGATAGAATATGATGACAACAAAAATAACATCCTGAAAGATAAACGGAGATAGGGCGTATCATAATAAAGGATATTGAAGTTTAATGACGATTTATATGATCACTACTGATTTCATAATCAAGCATTTTATGTCTGTTGTAAAGGACAGAATGTCCTCTTTTTAATGACACCCCGATCATACTACTACTGTCACAGTTGACTGAATAACAAAGCATTGCTGTCCACCATGTGAAAGGTGCACTGTGCCAAGTTTGATAACATTTCCTTCTTAGACACATAATCCACTCATTGTTCATCATTTCGATATGTCGGGGCTGACACAAGCACTAATCTTTAGAATTTATCTGTGAATGCTTACTTGTCACAGTGCACCTTTCACATGGTGGACAGCAATGCTTTGTTATTCAGTCAACTGTGACAGTAGTAGTATGATCGGGGTGTCATTAAAAAGAGGACATTCTGTCCTTTACAACAGACATAAAATGCTTGATTATAAAATCAGTAGTGATCATATAAATCGTCATTAAACTTCAATATCCTTTATTATGATACGCCCTGTATACAGTGCGTCCCGGACAAAAACGAAACCGATAACTATCGATGTTTTATTATAACTTAATCACAATTATGATTGATAAATGACACATATTTGTAAAGCTTAGATCCTCTTCTTTCATTAGATGTAACTCATATAATGTATATTTCTCGCATGAGTGATTACGAGCAATTTGAAGAGTAAATTTTAAGGAAAAAAGAGAACGTTTAGGGGGCGAAAAACAGTCTTTAAAAAATGACGTCATAGCTAGCCGATACGTGTTATTATTGGGCGGATTCTCGGCGGAATTCGTGTAGTGACCCTTGTTCAAATGTGATTTACTCACAATTTTCCGTGTGAACATATACCATACTTGCATCATTCAAAAGGGCACTTCATTGCGGTCAGTTTGACACCATATTCATCTGCGTGCAACGTATTGCACGCATTAAACGCGCTATCATG